CTTCTGACTTTGGGGATTAATACATCAATACCCACAGGGAGACCAAGATGATTTAAAATCTCCTGTTTGTGAAATTATTGCAGTTCCTGGAGAAAACAGGACACAATTGCAGGGCTGCTGAAGTTCACCCAGATGAGTAGCAGCATTCTGCTTGACCCCGAGGGAAGAGGAGAGGAGCGGCAGAGCCCCTGCGGGCGGCAGTGGGACCAGGCTCTAGCCCGGGAGCATCCCTCCTTCTGCAAGGAAGAAAGGAGAGCAGCGCTCAGGAGAAGCAGCCGCAAGACGCTCGTCTGCCACGTAAGTACCCAGGTTGTACAATGAATGGTTCAGGTTGCAGAATGGATGTACAAAATGGTATAGATGAGAGAAGACAGACAGACAACAGACAGATAGATGCCTACACACACACACTCACGCCTATGTGGACAGGTACAGAGGTGGATAGAGAGATAGGTAAGAGACAAACAGAGATAGAGAGACAAACAGAGAAACAGAGACAAGGAGAGTCTGGTCTTAGACCAGATTGATAGGTTGATCTGTAATTTACAGATGTCTGGCAAGTTGAGAAACATAAACAAGCAGGAAAAGATCACCACTTTTCAGAACATGGCACTAGGAAAGGAGTCTTTGCTACCACAACCCCTGAGTCCCCCCTGCAACAAATCCATGTTGTTGAGCATGGATCCGATTGGAGAGGCGCAGACGGTGCATCCCGAAACTCAGCCGAGCAGTCCTCCTCTCCCCTGAACTCTGGAACTCCACAGGAGGAAGGGCTGTTAGAGAGTTCACCACCAAAAGGCTTTTCCCTTGACCACCGTCTCATAACTAGGACACTGAGGAGACACTGTGGCTTCTCTAACCATAGATGGAGATTAAGGGCAACAGATTGGGGGAAGACGAGGAACGGGTTGCAGCCTTCAGTGTTCTGCAGACACAGTCTTTGACTTGGCCTGCTAGCATCCCAAAGGAGCATTCCCAGCAGGTGCAACCAGAGGGCATCAGGAAGGAAAGTCAGGACACCCCAGGGGTCACGGGGGAGCTGGCCCTTGAGCGCCCTCTGTGGTTGGATGCTGCACTGCAGGGAGATTCGGGTCCAGCTGTCAGCAAGCCTGCAGGTTAGCACCTCTTTCCTGGAAGCAAACGCTGTGTTCACAGCTAGATGTCTTCCTGCTCTTCCATGCACTTCCCTCAACACTGCCAGTTGCCACACGTCTCCAACCTAACCTCCCATTTCTCCCTCCACCTGGGCAAGAGCCGTCCTTCCGGGAAGATGAGGAATCAGTCGTGGGTGAGCGAGTTCCTGCTGCTGGGCATCCCGGGTGCAGAGGGCCAGGACGGCGCTCTGCTGCTGCTCCTGGCCGCCGTGTACACCTGCGCCCTCCTGGGCAACGCGCTGCTGCTCGCGGCCGTGGCCTCGTCGCCCCGGCTCCACACCCCCATGTACTTTTTCCTGGGAAACCTGTCCATCTTCGACCTGGGTTTCTCTTCCACCACCATCCCCAAGATGCTGGCCTACCTGTCCGGGAGGAGCCGCGCCATCTCCTTCCAGGGCTGCGCCACCCAGCTCTTCTTCTACCACTGCCTGGGCTGCACCGAGTGCTTCCTGTACACCGTGATGGCCTACGACCGCTTCGTGGCCATCTGCCACCCGCTGCGCTACACGGCCATCATGAGCCCCCGGCCGTGCGCCGCCCTGGCCGCCGGGACCTGGGTGGGTGGCTGCGTGCACGCCACGCTGCTCACCTCCCTCACCTTCCGGCTGCCCTACTGTGGATCCCGAGGGGTGAGCTACTACTTCTGCGACATCCCCGCCGTGCTGCCGCTGGCCTGCGGGGACCCGGCCCTGGCTCAGAGGGTCAGCTTCACCAACGTGGGCCTGCTGTCCCTCATCTGCTTCTCTCTCATCCTCTGCTCCTACACTCGCATTGGCATCGCCATAGCCAAGATTCGCTCCACCGAGGGCAGGCAGCGGGCCTTCTCCACCTGCAGCGCCCACATCACCGCCATTGCCTGTGCCTATGGCCCGGTCATCATCATCTACCTGCAGCCCGACCCCAGTCCTCTGCTGGGGGCCATAGTGCAGATCCTGAACAATCTGGTGACTCCTGCGTTGAATCCACTCATCTACAGCCTGAGGAATAAGGATGTGAAATCAGCCCTGAGCAGCCTCCTTCCCCGGAGAAGCCTGGTCCTGGGAAAGAAGTGAAAACAACCAAAGCTCTGCTGGACAAAGCGCAGGTTGTCCCTGATGGCAGGATCTTCACCTCGCCTTCCAGGACATATGGAAAGAAAATGTATTAAGCTTCAGTTTCCAATTTTTACTGTTTATAAATATATCCATGTGGTTTTCATATTTCTCTGTGCTTTATTATGAAATGGAAAGTTTCTCAAAGGTATTTACACTGATTGTGTTCAGATTTTCAGTTTGCCTGCATTTTGGTTGAGAGATGAGGCCATG